AACGGTGAAGTGACAAAAAAAAAACAGTTAAGATCGCCACAAGGAATGTCTCAGTGGTCCCTCATTTCTCGCTTGAACTTTATTCTTTATCACGGTCGAACGACGAGAGAGAAGGTGACCGGAAGAGATGTGTGTCCTTCGTGGTATACCGGAGGACAGTGAGCCAAACGTGGACGAAACTCGTCGGCCCTTTGCTACATTATAATTAAGTCTTTTTCCGTCTGTGATGATAGATGAGAGCGAGTCGTCGTCGCGCAGCTAATAAACGATCGTAAACTGATCCATACGATGTGCTCGAACACGATATCGATATTTCCTCTTAACTCCCTATGGACTAACCCGCTTTTGAGTGTTACACCTTCTCCTGTTCTGTTACCGAAAGAAATGATCTTGGCAGATGACTCGTAAGTCGGAATTAATTGTTCAAAACAGCTGGAACGCAGAAACCAATTGTGAACAATTACTTTAATTCGATCGAGTTACGTCGTCTTCAATAATCGAATGAAAAATGTGTTGGGTCATTTCATTAGTAGTGTCTCCGGAGATCAATTTTAAATTTAAATCGTTCAATTCTTTGCGGGTGAGAATTTTTAAAAATTTTCCATCAGAAAAGTGTATTATGCATCGAAGTCTTACATACTAGGAATAAAGGAAATCACGTATCAGTCTCTTGTTGTTTGAAGCTGTCGAATTTTAGATATACTTTGCAACTATTACATGCATATGCCATTACAACAGCATTTATCCCTAAACCGTTAAATTACACTTTTAACGTCTTTGAATTTTACTTTTAAAAGATAATTGTTTGGTAGTTTGAGATACGAATACAGGCAGCATTACTTATGAAATCGCCTAATAACAATGTGCGTTCCGAAGCCATATTGGACTATAGGGAGTTAACACTCATAGATGCGTGTATCCGATATATTTTACTAAGATTAAATGTGGCCCGTAGCGATTCTTATGCGATGCAGCATTCGTAAATGTAACGCGGATTGTCCGAGTATATTTTTCAATGTGCGTGTTAATAGAGATCACGTTAGCGCATATTACTACTGGACTGTGGATGCTCATGCAAATATACATCCTGCGTTGGCTGGTTGGAAAACGAAATACAAATTAAACAGACCCCAACTTTTCTTTTTTAATTGATTATTTGATTACGCCAACACGTTTCGTACCACCTGAAATTTTATACACGCATTGTAATAAATGATTGCATGTTTACTGTAATAATTATTACATATAACAATCGATTAAATTCGTGACTTCTTTTTGATTATTTTATTTTGAAATGAAGCCAAAGGATAGGGACCTCCAATTAATCTAAGTTTCGTTTCGAATGTATACCGTGGGTCATCGATGATCCACAAGGCGGAGAACATATTTCGAATAAAAGTGAAACTGTACAAAATATTTTCATTATTGCCTGCATTTATTCATACAATCGATGAAGAAACGTTACAAGCATTGCTAGCGCTGGCTATTAAATTATTATTGATGCAATGTGGTATGCAAATTGTCATTGCGACAGGGATTAAACGAAAATCGATATTTTCTAATGATAATTTGAAACAATTGGAAACATATGAAATGTATTAGACCCTTTACATTTTATTCGATCCGATGCATTTGTGCTCTCTGGAAATGCATACAATCCGCAGTCCAATTATTACTGTTTGGGAGAAACTCGCTAGATCTCGCGCGCGAATGCTTAATGTGTGTCAGTAACGAAATAGCCTGTTGTTCCTTTCAGTTCGACGTAAAAGATATGATATCCTCGATCGTGTCTTTAGAAATTACGTCCAACCATTAGGAAGAGCGACGGTCACAATCTGCCAGCGAGATATTAATAAAAGCGCGGCGATCTCGAGCCAAAAATGAAACGGTGCAAGCTTGCACGCGCGTTGTGTACCGTGTACACGTGAACCCGATACGCTGGGATGGCAAATCCGATGGGCTGTAAACTTATGTATCGTGTACACTTTGAGGCAACGATGTGCTGAAACAGTAATCCTAGAAGGATCATAAGAAAAGGCTTCTTCTGCGGATCCGGCTCAATCAGGGTTCTCTAATCTATAACTGTCCTCAGTACTTAACACATTGCGTACCGGCAACGAGAAATCTCGTTTTTATATAAAGACACTTAGCTATGCCACTTCGCTAATTACCACAGCATTGAAAAAATATAAAATTTAATTCGAATTGATTATCTGTTTAAAATATATTACATAACAATATGATATCTGAGTCTTTCTATGTATAGTGATATAAGTTAACCTCAGTGAAAATTGCCAACCGCACAATTCAGTTTTCTGAAAATTAGCAGGTACGCAATGTGTTAAGAAAATGTTTAGAACTGGCCTGAGAGGGAAAGTTTGGTCCTAATGAAACAAATATGCCAACTTTGAAAAAATGTACAGTAGATCGCGAAATAGAACTGCCTCTAGATGTTCAAAGTTTGCAATTTTTAAGTGGATCAGGACGCTACTTCCTAGATGATGTTGAGCTACGACCATACGTACGTATACGATGAATTGAGACCCTTGAAATTGATAAGGTGTCGATGGTTGTGTTGATTAAAATTGATTAAATTGGATTAACTGATAGTTAACTATCGATTAACTGAAATTAAAGGGAACTCAGAAAAATTAGATATTGGACGAGTCATCTCTTTGTTGATTGATTAGCTGTATCATTACTTCTACGTGTACACGCGCGCGTGCATGCACACGGTGGGGAACATAATTCACACGCACACGACGAAGGGAGAATTACGCTTCTTCCGGGAACCGTTACTGTAGAGGGTGTGGTGCTATGCATGGTACAGCCGGGAAGATGACATTACATGCAAAAATAAATCGAAAATAGAGAATAGAATTTTTGTCCTGCGAAGCTTCGTTTTCTTATGAAATTAAGGTAGAAAATTCGTCGACAGATGTAATTTTAACACTTGTATGACTATTGGAAAAGAACATTATTCTTGCAACTGATGCTGATTCCTTTTTACATCCACGAAGTAACTTGTAACTTTCATATTGTAATTTGTTTGATTTATTAGTTCTACATATTCATTCTCCTTTAAATGAGAAAATGTATATAAATGTATGTTCAAGTATATCATGGCATTTTATTTGCAAGCAATTATGAATCGAGTGGAAGGACATTGCAATGCTTTTAAAAAGTAATTGATTTTTGTTACTTAAGAAAATGTCTGAACAATGAATAAAAAATCATTCTTTCGCAGTGTTTCTTTTCATGAAGTAGTTATAGTTTCTGTTAATTTAAATTTTAATCGTGACATTTTTTAATACAGGAGAGTCTATTGATATAACCATACAAGTGTTAACCCCCGAAGTCTTTCGATGGCCTATGTGTCCTCCCTAACTGTATTTTAGAATATATATCTCCGATAAACACTTGTCTTTCTATCGATCCTCATCTAAACAACCGTCAACTTAGATTAACAATCGTAATGATTATGTATTCCTCTGGCTATTTCCTGCCTAACGATTCTCACAACAAGTAATGTATAAAAGATAATCAATATCATACTTCTATCAGTGTTCATAACATTAAGATAAATAGAAAGAGTAAATATCGTAGGAATATAAGCATTCAATCATACGATTATCGAGTGAATTTTCGAACTTAATTCTTTCAAAAGTGAAGCTTCGTACGAACAAATTGTCTTCTTTCGCAGCGATTTCCTTTTTGCACGTGGAATCACTTTCTCGTCAGTCGCGCCTCGAATGACGCGCAACTTGTGCGAAGGAACTATTAATTGGAAGATGAAAGGGTAGACGAGACCGGGGGGTGGAAACCGAAATATCACTGGATATTTATAGTTACTTCGAAGTTTACGTAACCGTTAAACTAATTTTCCTGGAGCGAACGAGTTTCGTTGGAAATCGTCACTCGGATCATAATTAACGAATAATTGCCAGAATTATCTCGATTTCAACTCCTTGCGGAGAATGTATTGTAATTAGGGGAGAAGCGACGAAAGAATGGAAACGAAGAATTTGTGGCACATGACGCACGCACGAGCGACATACTGTGTATGTGTGTTTATATGTATATACATATATATTTTTACGTGTAGATATTTTTTGGTAACTTGTTACAATAATCCTATTAGACCAGTTAAGTATATACATATATAAATATATATATATATATATAAAAATAAATAAATATAAATACATGTTGTAAATACAAGTATAGCTGGAGAAAAAAGCGTTCCGTCATCCACGTAGATTTATGTGAAAATGACTAAAAGAGGGGAGAGTAGATCATAATAAAATAAAAATGTAGAGACCACTTTGTATCGATTCAATGAAACATATACATACTTACGCATATATATATACATATATATAAACAAGTTTATTCGATGATTCGCGGCTAAATGTTTCCGTTCTAAGCCTGACACTATACCTCCGCATCGACGACTGGCTGACACAACTTGCGTGCAATTTACAATTTAGTTCCCGTTGACTTTTCGTGTATTCTGTACGTAAAAGCCGAGTCTTCGCGATTTATTTCGTCGAAAGGGTTCTTGCTATTCGGCCCCCTCCGCGCACCGTTACAATAAAAGACGAAAGCAAGTTGTATTTGACCCTTTTACTTTATACTTCTTATATTTATAATATTTATTACGTTTTTTCATATGTTGATGTAATAAAGTTTTAGATGATATACTTTGCAGCAACCGCTCTTGTGTCTTTTAATCGACGATTAACTTTTCGTTTGTATTCTCTCCGTATTAATGTTTATAAATGATGTTTCACAATGTTTTTTTGTGATTGTTTCAGACTTTCCGCCAGGTAAGTCGAATACTGTAATTTTTTAGTAAGGAATTATGGAGTATCCTATTGTTCTTTTATTGGAAATATGGAAAAATGCTTTTATTGTGTTAATTAATTCCGCGAAGGTAAATAAAATGTAAAATAGTAAGTTCTTTTTCTCTCATCCCATTGATTAAAAAGATAAATTCCTAATAATGTAATAATAATCGTATTTATTCATTTATGGTTTATTTGTGTTGTAAATTTAAAGTAGAGTTCCCCCTTTTATGTTGAAGGTTTAGAATGTAATATTCACTTAAGGTAAAGTGAAATATTAAAATATTCAATTTAAAGTAAATAATTTTAACGTATTAATATTGTTCTAATACTTTTAAAATGAAGTATTAAAATACTTGCTGGTTGAAAACTTTTGAAAAGTCCTTAGGGTTTCTTCGAGCACGGAAACTCGAGGAGGACTGAAGAATGCCTGGCTTCGCACCCTCTACTTATAACATCTCTCATCCCTACTTTAATTTATGCGCATGTTCGTAAAGTAATTGAAGAGTCGCAGGTTTAAGAAGCAATTCTTTTCGTACGGATGAATTTTGCTGCCATAAACATTACGGTTTATAGTTACAGTGGTAAAAATCAACATTTATATATTTCATGTTTAAAGTAGTAATTATTGTTTGAACTATTTATAGTTATCATTTAAATAGTCTTAGTTTAGGTAATAAAACTAGAATACAAATAAAAATGGTTTATTCAAATAAACATTTTTATTAATACATCAACCACATAACTTGTAAATTTATTGTCCTATGCCTGCTTGTTAATGTTAAATTTACAGTTAATTAATTAAATTATTAACCCCTTGCCTTACAATATCGTGTTAGACACGTGGTGAAAATTTTCAACAGAATTTAGCCTCCGTAAATATTACTCAATGTTTTTGGATCCAAATTAAATATTATTCTTCCGTTATCATTTATTACACTTTAGAGCAAACATAGACATAAAATATGCATAGAATTTTTCTCTTTTTCCAATAAATTATTAAAGACAAAGTAATTGTAACGATCATGGTTATGATGTATATCATAGGGCAAAGGGTTAATATGTATTTAATATGCATATATATCAGCACAGGTATATTTAATCATGTTGATCCGTTATACATCTCGTCGGTAATATTACTATTTACAGGTTCAATGTATCGATATTGATTTCAATTGTCATTCAATTCGTTTTTGAAGGTTAGTGACAAAGTTCATTTTTCGTTATGAGTAAAAAAATTCACAAGTAAAAGAACTTTTAATACCCAAAATCCTCAGAAAATTTAAGATAATGTTTCAAAATTCTTAGTAATATTGAAAACAAAAGTCGATACATCAAATACCAGGCGAGTATTTCTAATTTATTCTATCCATTACGAGTTGGTTAATTAGAAAAATATATAAGTCAGATTATAAACACAAATAAAAATGATAATATAAATAGAAAATTATGGTATACACAAATTGTTGAAGCGCACTGTATAAAAATATAGGATCAATATAAATTAAGATTTATAGTTCTATTTCTCAATGCTAACTCGAATTCAGATGAAACATGGCTACACCAGCTGCTAAGAAAGGAGACATTAAAAATGTTCCTCCGGAACAAGAGAACAGTCCAGGAACAGCAGGGGAAGGTGATGCTCTTCCACAGAAGACACCTTTGATACCAGGACGTTCATTCGGCAAAAGATGGCACAAATTCCATGCTTTGACTCCCAATTCGGCGATCCTCCGTGGATCATTTGCGATGACCGATCCTCATTTCAAGTACCGGAGTCGTGGCCGTCAGGCCGCTCCAGCGTCAGTAGTAGCCATCGTCTATGGTCGTCTGTTCGAGCCCAAGGAATGGATCAAGGATTACGTGGACCAGGTGTTAGAATATGGAGACAAAGTGTATCGTACCAGCGCCATGAGGAACCACGTGAAAGACGACGAGTACATGAGGGCTAGGCTGATCCATCCGGAGTTCTACATATCCAACTACAAGGTTTTGGTTTGCGTCGAAGAGACTGGCATTTATGGGAATCTATTCAGTGAAACAGTAGGCTGTCCAGACTTTGCGGACGGTTTGAGTAAGTTCTTCCAGGCTAACGACGCAGGAGTGATAACTGCTCAGGGTACATCGATCGCCATGTGGCGACATCCCGATGTTGGTTTTCTCTACTTTAACCCTGCACCATGCGACGAGGAAGGTGTCCGTCGACCGGATGGCGTTGCCTGTGTCATGAGGTTTAAGTGTATGAACGATCTCAGGGACCATTTCCTAAAGAGCATGAATCAACGGTATGATTCGAGGTATTGCATCGACAAGGTTACCGTATTACGCGTCAGTGAAGTTGGTCGAGGCTACATTAACCGCATGCCTAGCAGCAGTCGTCTAACTGTCGACAAGAGTGTGCTTCGTGCGATTAATCCCGTTGATATTGACGAGAATAAGATGGATTGTACCAAACCGGTTCCTAAAGGAAACAAGATGAAAGCCGTCACTACTGCTAAGATCCACAGAGAACCGTTATCAATCACGATTTCGAATTACAGCATAGATAAAAAATTTGCCACTGATCCCCTGGTGGATCAAAATAAATTTGACACGGGTTACACCTACGAGAACATGCACGTGAACGTACCGTCAACGTTCAGAGAACTGCCCGGTTACATGGCAATTCTTCACGGGTTGACTCACGAAAGCAGCGACGTGTACAAAGCGAAAGGAGCGCAGAACGTGGTAAACTGTGTGATGGCCATCGCCATGAAGAAGGTTCATCCAGTAAAAACGTGGTTCAGACCAAAATTAGACGAGATATTGGCTCTTGGAGACAGTGTGTATGCAGACGTGAAGTCTGAGAAGCCGTCGATTAAGTCTATGACAGCATCAGATCTGTCCGACGTGAAAGTCCAGATAGAGAATCGAAAGTTGGTGATCGATGTGGACCTTATTACGGTAACCGGTACCGTCAGTTCGAAGATCCCTACGGTTCTAAACTTAAAACAAGCCCTGGAAGAGTTTTTCCTAGTGAATACAGAAGGCGTTATCGAATCCTCGTCAATGTCTGTCGCTATCTGGAGCCAAGATGACTGTTACTACATGTTCGATCCTCGGCAATGCGACACGAACGGTGTTAGGGTTCGAGAAGAGAAGGGAAAGAAGAATGGGGAAGAGAAAAAGAAAGGGAACTGTTGCGTGATGAGGTTTCCGAAGAGTGATGTTTTAGCTATACAGTTCTGGAAGGACCTCGAACCGGTTAAGAAGAACGATCGATTCACTATTAGACACATTACTATCTTAGACGACATTCCTGGGACCAGACCGTGGCATGACTTTCAGCCGGGAACACCAGGAGAAACGTGGATTCTTCAGGGTACTACTTCCAACGAAGACGAAGATTTCGAGGATGAAAATAAAGGACAACAAGGACTGGCTATGCCAGTGGTGGCTCTGATTGCTGCCAAAGAAACATCGCCTACAAAATGGACAAACGAGACCATTGACACTGTACTACACGAAGGGGACGCGTATTACACTTGGTGCAATCCTGTCACAGATGCAGACGAAGAGGAGACGAAGTATTTCTTCGTGCCGAACTTGAAGAAAAATCTTTACTATAAGAACAGGAAGGTTAAGATTGACGTGGAAGAAGGAACGGTCGTTGGAAATCTGTCATCAACGGAGGATAGTGACTTTCTGAACATGACGAGAGCCTTGACACAATTCTTCCAGGATTACCAATACGGAATCGTCGACGTGAAGAACTTGAATGTTGCAGTCTGGAAAGTGGAAGAAGACGTGAAAGAAAAGGAAGAGATCGTTCAGCGTCCTGTCTATTACTGTTTCGATCCAAATCCAAGGAATAATAAAGGTTTGTCGGACCTAACCCAGACTGACGAAGAAGAGGTACCTGTAGCCTGTGTGATCAGGACATTGGACATCCCAGTTCTAGCTAAACTGATCCAAGCGAACGCGGAACAAGACGAGGAGGCTCCACCAACCGATGACTTTTTTATACATGCTATGAAGAGTATTCAGATAGGTAATGAGATGACTGAAGAAGAAATCGAGGCGGACAAGTTGATCCCGGTGAAGCCTGATCTTCACAATTATATAAGCATGGGTGATAACGGAGCTATTTTGACGGGTAGCTTTAATCAAGCTAACGAGATGATGTTCAAGCGTCAAACTAGGGACAAACAGCAAGCTGCTAGTGCCTTGGCAGCTTTGGCTATGACAAAATTATACAATCCCCACCTTTGGTACCGAGAGGTAGTCGATGATATCTTGAAGATAGGAGACAAAATCGCACAGGAGAATTTGGAAAATATCCCAGTGGAAGAAACAGATGAGGAGGAGACACTTAGAAACTACCTACTTCCTGATGAAATTAACGAAGAGTTTACGGTCGGGGTGAATAAAATGTTTGTAGAGTTGGAAGCAGAAAACGTCACTGGCAGAATGACTGAGTTAGAGAGTCAGTTGGAGAGTTTCTTCGAGACGAATCTCATGGGCATCGTTAGGCAAGAGAACATAATGATGCCCATCTGGAGAGAGGGAGACGTATTTTTTACGATGGATCCGAAAGGAAGAGACTCCAGAGGCGAGCCACGAGAAAAAGACGGTGTAGCAGTTATCATGTGGTTCACGGATATCCCATCGTTGGCAGCGGCAATTCAACAAGTTGCTACTGGTGATGACTTTGTCATTGATTCCGTCAGCTTAAGTAATGCTTATGAAACCAGAGTGGCCGAGGAAGAACGGCCAGTTAAGCCAACTTCCGGAGAGAATCCTTGGTATCATTTCCCCAAAATAACTGAGGATGTTTGGGCTATCAATGGTACAGTTAAAATGGATGACAAGAGGTTCCAGGAGGCTAATCGAAACAAACAGACGGCAGCCATAGCGGTGATGGCAATCGTCTTCGCGAAGGTTTACGAACCTCGATACTGGACCAAATCGGTTCTAGACGAAGTGATCGTCACTGGTGACAAGCTACATTCAAAATGTGTTGAGAGACTAGGAGGTGGTGCGATACCCAGAATCAACGAGATCATGACTGAATTTTTCCTCTCCAGTCGTCGTATTAACCTTAGTATCAAGGACTGCGTTGAAGCTGGTAGTCTTACAGCGAAACCACCAAAAGTTCAGGGTCTGCAGGATGGTGTAGACAAGTTCTTCTCTAGATACACTTCTGGTGCACTGACAGTCAGTGGGAACAGAAACAACCCAGTTTGGAAGTTTGATAATTTTTATTACACGTTAATACCAGATTGGGGTAGTAGCACGGAAGAAGGAACATCAAGTGCTGCCAGAGTCTTAAGAGTTGCCAATACCGAGATCCTTGTAAAATACTTGATTGATTTTCTGGGTACTGAAAGTGATTATGAGATGATTGTTATAGACGTGCTCAATTGGAACAAATTTCCACCATGGAAATTCGATCCTAGTGCAGCTGTTCGTCCCTCCAATCTACCACCTTTCAACGCTTACAGAAGAGTTCAAGGCGGAGCCAGAGCGATCCTACGTGGAAGCTACCACCAAGGAGACAGGATCTTTCCCGAATCTTTCAGGAACAAGCAGACGGCTGCCAACTGTGTTGTCGCCATTGGCATGTCCGTCGTAAAAAATCCGATCACCTGGACGAAGAGAACTATGGATGAGATCCTGGCCATCGGGGCAAACGTCCATAGACTCACTCAGAAGGCTAAACCGACGATAGTGAGGATCAAACCCAAGGATATCATCAGAGTGTTCTATGTAGGAGTAAATATCTTGACTGCTGACATCGAGGCTAGTACTGTAAGCGGTTTAGTCGCGATTCCTCCTCCTCAGCCTGAAGACAAGAAAAAGAAGAGGCGAGGTGGAGCTAGAAGAGTTAAAGGAAGTAGACGGGCGAAGAAAGCTAGAGGGCCTACCAGAGTTAGACCACCGCCTCCTCCACCGATTCTTCTAGAGAAAGGAATCCAAAAGTTCTTCGAGAAAAATCGAGCCGGTGTCCTAGTCACCGATCGTGGAGCTGTGGCCATCTGGAAGGACATGGGGATCTACTTTATGTACGACCCTAGAGCTCGTAGTGACCAAGGGCTGCCAGACTTCTATGGAACTTCTTGTGTCATGTGGTTCGCGTGTATCGAGCCTCTCTACGAAGTACTGTTCGCTAATATCGACGAACAGGAAAAGTATGGGCGTTACCAAATCTGTAGGGTTATCATCAAGACTGCTAACATCGAGCCTCTACCCTGTCCAGCTGGATTCAGACCGTACTTTGACTGTGTTACTCCGCCTATTCCAGTGACCCATGGGAACAAGAATACTACGCTAGACGTGGAAACTGTAACAGAGTATAATTTCGTGGACGAGGAGCTAAGCGTTCTTCGTGGAACCTTGCACATGAACCATCGTACCTGGAGCAGCGACAGTAGAGGCTACCAGAGCACAGCCATCGCTGCTGTCGCCATTGTGGTTGGTCTTCTTCATGTTCCTTCCACCTGGACACCCGAACTAATCGACGCTATACTGAAGTATGGCAATTTATTGCATCTGGACACCGTGCGGGCTGCTCGTCCTGGCTCCAGGAACTTGTCACCCAGTGAATTGTTGACAGTGTTCATTATCGGAGACTTCAGAGCTACTATCCACGTTCACAATCACACTGCGGCCGGTCTGCTGCACGCCTTTGACCTAGCGGAATCTCTATCTATGTTCTTCAGGTCCAACTGCTCGGGTATACTTCACACGACTAACATGGCAGTAGCAGTGATGCAGCATTACGGCAAGTTCTATCTTTTCGATCCTTGCGCAAGGGATGATCAAGGCAGGCCGAATTTTGACGGCGCAGCCTGTGTGATGAAGTGCGAGAGCATCATGAAAATGGCGAAAGTATTCGTGCTCAATTGCAATCTGAAGACCCCGAACATTTACACCTTGAACGCGGTGAACGTTTTGAGTTTGTTCTTCTTCTCGGACGCTAAAACCGGTTGTCCACCGAAGTGCGAACAGTAACAACGGGAAATGCTTCTGTAGTGATTTAGATTTATATTTCAAATTTTGAAAACTTTGTGATGCGTATAAGTTCCAGTTTATGATGTTCAATATGATATTGGTCTCTGTTATTTTTCTAACGTGTAATGACTGCATTTACATTTGATTAATGTCACACGACTTTCCGATTACACATCTTTACATTTTTCCCCCTTGCATTTGACATCAATCTTTACTTAATACTTAATCTCATTTCATCATTCCATACCGGTTCAGCCACCTCCGTCTTTACTCCCAGGTGATCGTAGATGGTGCGTGATAAAAGGAATCGACGCGGTCGACAACATTCTCAAATTGCTAATTTTATTTATAGGTTTCTTTATGACACAAATCACTTTTAGCATCTACATGAGTAGGAGATACAGGTTATACGAGAATGAATTTGATACAGATCACTTATTAGTGTAAATACAATGTATCTTCAATTACACACTATAAACTAGATACTTAGAAAACACTGTACAACGCAGCTGAAAACTGTCGGTGATACTTTACAATATGTTACAAGCACTCCCTTCGACGCGAGACGGAGCCTGGCCGCGACTGGAATCGAAATGGTTCCCGTCCTGTCGCAACAGATTTCGCGATCAGCCGCGGGTAGGCTTCCTCGAGTGATTCGATGACGTCTAGCGCGGTCTGTAGGCCGTGTTTATTGGGCTCGGAAGCTGCACCACGTCGAACGCATCTTTTCTATCTAACCGCATCTGTTTCCCGCTAACGTTGATTTCCGCCCGGGAACGATCAACGAAATCGTGTGAACAGCTTCCTCGACCCTGACCATCGGTGGGGACCAAAACGGACCACCCTCGTGACGTCGTCTTGTTTTCTCGCAAAAGTGAACTAACGCCGAGTTCCACGGGCAGAGTCTGGGCGGAGGACATTCCTAACTAAACTGATAAAAACGATCAACGAGGGCAGGACATTCCCGAGAACCCTTTCGAACTAAATTTTAACTGTTATACATACTTAAACAAATTCATGGGATGGAGAGCTCTCCTTTTACTTGGGCTTTGAGCATTTAAGACTCTAGGAAACAGTTTAATTGAGAAGTAAACGTATGCTGTTGTCGTCGTACATTTTATAAGCTACTGACTCTAAATCTACCGTTGTGGTTCCACGAGTGAACTGTTTTACTATATCGTTACCACCAGAGGTACACAACCCTGTTACAGTCGTAGGATTTGTTTAATCCAATCACGTTTTCTCTTGAAACCTGTTCATATTCGAGAAGATTGAATTTCATATGTGACTAACGAAAACTTGAAACCAATGAAACAACGAACTGAAAGCCTTAATTTTAAAATGATAATCTTGACGATTGCATAAGCTCTAGCTCCACTATACACCATTCATTTTAAATGTACCTTGGAACTATAATCTCAAAAATGAATAACATTCCGAACAAGAACATACTTTAAATCGTCTTTCGATTAGAGTTACAGGACAATAAATAATTCTTTAAGAATCTTTCATCACCTTTCAGTGAAGGAAATCCTAAATTTAAAATACTTTCGCGATTTTCTTGTGGCTCGACCAAGAGCCGTATCAGGATTCGAAATTTCAATCGAAAGCATTCGCAGCGATTGTCATGTGAGATCTCCGAAGTTTCTATTGCTATTCTTCATTGTCACCGGTATACTCGACGCAATGTCCAGAGAAGAAATGCGTTTAAATGCATCCAGCGTGTACGCTGAGCGTCCTCGCGATCTCTGCCCCCGCAACCCGGCTCCTCGTACAACAGTGATCGTCGTCCCATGCACACGCCCGCACTCACACGCACACGCAACACACTCGGAATAATACATCGCACGGCATTAAGAGTCTTTTCTTTGTGGCTAACGTCTGTCAGTACTATCCGGTAGTCCTTCTTTTCTCGCGCGCTCCTTTCTGTGAACCGATGGTCGTCCTTGCCCGTACTTACTCGTTTGCTGCCTCGGCTTCTCGATCGATCGATCCGCTCTATCGTTTCATCGTCCAATAACCCGTTTAATTCTTAAGCAGATTTGCGGGGAACGATTCCCGAAGACCTTCCCCCGAGAAGAATGTTAGAAGTCGACTTGCCTCGAGTGTATTCACTTTGCGCGAAGTCTTACACGCTTCGGGTTCACGATACTAATTGGGTTTCAAGCGGGTTTCCGATGGAACTGCTGCGATCTGTATCGAACCTTAGGCGATTTATAAAATTCTGGACAGTCTGTGCTGATTCGGCAGACGGCTAGGGCTTAGAGAATTCATTTGAAAATATGAATCAGCTTTCGTAATCAAGTTTGGCAAGATCCGGAATAACTCCGAGATAACTTGTAACGTTAAGCCTTATGTACATTGATTTCTGAGGGAGTATTCGAAGTCAAGACTGTATTCAAGTTTGAATGAATGTTCGATGAATCAATGTGAGATTTAAATAGATACGAAACAATTGTTAACGGTCTGCGTCGATGCAAGGTGGCATTTGAACATTGGTTTCTATCGGTACAACCATGCTAGTTAAATCCGATACTATTTACCAGAAATCGATCTAGATCTAATTACATCCGAAATTACTACTAACATTCTAAATTAATACTGAATTGTTTTTGAACGTAAGTAGGTCCCGGTTAGGTCTGTCTTAATTCTACGATACGTCCATTTCGGATCGAAATACTTTGAGTGAACAGTGTATTGTCGAAATTCTTGCGCTGGAAAGCCCAATAGACGTATCTCGAACGGTGGTCCGCGGGTCGACTGTCCAGAACGGTCATCGAGAATTTCGAGGGTGGCGTCGCGTGTCCTCGATCGAAAAGCAACGAGGCCGGATAAGGGAGAGAAGACGTAAAAACGCGGCAAAAGAATCCAAGTGACGAGCGTGTCCGTTCGAAACGCACGCCCTGGCCACTGACAGAACGAACACGGGAACAGATCGTTAATTGTAAAAAATATGTATTATCAATAATATTGGCATGATGTCGTTATGGCACGTTCAGTTTACTGTTTCATTGACGCGTTTACAGGTTTATCTTAAGTTCTCGCTATACAGACATCGTGTGGTTTAGCTCAGTCGAGTGGGGGGTGAGGGAAAGGTCGGAGAGGAAGGGTCGAAGATAGCAAATAAATTTAGGGGAAAAAAATAGTGGAAAGAAACGGAAAGAAAATAATGAAACGAAGGGGGAGAACGCTTCGCCAAAAAAAAATTGTTTCTTCTTGTCTTTGCTCTCTGTTTCACGCACACATGCACTCGCTCTCTCACATTCTCTTCATCTCTGTCTCGCGTTATAACAGTCTCTTTTCTTCTGTGTTTCGTTTCCCTTCCTAAAATATCGTCATCGTCGTCGTCGTCATAATAATCATTATCATTATCATCATCATCATTATCATCATCATCATTATCATCATTATCATCATCATAATCATCGCCACCACTATCATCATCATCATCATCATCATTATCATCATCACCATCATCATCATCATCATCATCATCATCATCATCATCATTATCATCGTCGTCATCATCATTATCATCAAAGTCCTCCATTGCACTTTCCCATTCGACGCAACAAATGCACCTTAAAACGTATTTATTTTATGTACAAAAGCTGCTCCCTAATGCAAACGCACGAAAACAATTTCCTTTTTCTCTCC